ACTCTGCGCGCGTCACAGAAAGCGTGTTCTGGTCCTCCTGGAATCCACCACATCGGTGAGGCGGTTTGGGCAACTGTTCACGGATTTGAGGAAGCGGTCGACATTCTTCACCTAAGAACCACACATGAAGAATTGAACAGCTCTTTCTGGTACCGCCTGAAGTCGCACAGAGTCATACACGTCAGTAGTCGTCAGTGCAGTCACTTAGACATCGATCTGGTTCTAGATCTAGCAGCAGGAAGGAAGACTCAAACTTCGAAATCTTGTCGCGCGTCGAAGAGGCGTGACCATTACGCATTTCATCACATATCACTACACCGTGTAGTCAAGCCAGGCCTGATTGAAGCAGGCCGACAATCAGATTGCACGATGCTGGATTGTGATGCTCCCGCAGAGTCTGAGGTATGCGCATGCTTGTCATGCATTGCTCGATCTGGAGGGAGTGCTGTGCCCTTCGGAGGCCGCTGGGCCTGACAGCTGCAGGATTCGCGCTGGACCAACATCAGATGTTGTTGTCAAAATGCTTGTTCCCGAAATTGACGTTAAATCGGAACTCCCTCGGTGCCGCCTTATGTCCTGAAGGAAAAAGAAGCCGATTGAGATGGAGTAGCAAACGCGACATTTGAAGGATCCAAGCATGATTTCCTAGAAAGGGTGCTAGCGCGGACAATTTTTCAGGCGCTGCTGTCGGACGAGTCGTCACAAGAACTGCTAGTGTTACTGCTACATACTGCTACTGCTGGAGTTCTGGCGCGAGCGAAGGTTTCTCCGCTGTCGCCACTTGCGGGGCTCGAGCTCCAGCAAGCATAGCACTCTCGGTTCTATGGTGTTCCTTTGTGGTCTGCTAGAGGAGGAATGGGCCATGGTCTGCCGGGGGAGGTTGAGTTGACATTTTGCTAGCGCCGTGCTAGCGTGGCGCTAGCGCAAAACACTGTGCCGGATTTTTCCAAGATCTGATACTACGACGTGATGAACGACGAAAACAAGCCAGGAGCAGCAAATGTACCAAGTGTAACAAGAATATCGTTTCTTTCTTGTCATCGTTTTCCTAGAAGAACCTCTATCCTGGCAAAAGGGGCCCCGTCAATTCATAACGAAGAGGTGCGGGGTCATTACACCACCCCGGATGTTGTACGCACATTTCGGGTGGTGCGCCTGGCTGGACCTTCTCAATCAATCTCTGTTGGGTTCGCTTAGTGGTGACATGCGAAATTTGAAATAATGTTTGTTGATTTTACCTAGCGCGAACCTAGCGTTTTCCTAGCGCCACACTGGGGTTTTAGGGGATCCCCCTCGGTGCCGCCTTACAGCAAAGACATGAAAATAGACCGGCCAAACCAATTAATGTAAATTAAAGTAACTGGGCAAACACGCGAATTTTGAACGCAACCCATCTACACCCTTGGATGTGTAAATTCTTCATGCCTGTGAGGCATGCCGACAATGCTCTGATTTGCCGATTCAAATCAGCTTCCGACGCGGCTGCGGGCGGCAGGAACGTTCCACGATGATGTCACCTGCGAGGGTTGCTAAAACAGAGCGAGGGTGACCTAGTCTTTGCTTGGATACGCACAAGCGAGAAGCGGTGGCGAAACGGCATCTGCTGCTCAAAGCAAGAAGAAAGCATCTACAAGCTATTCGGATCACAAACAGGTACAGTATTTCCAGGGCTGCTGAAGGAAGTCAAGGTTACCATCTGATTGCGGAGATGGCGAAGCAGCGTAAATTGGCCAAAAGCCCAAGGGCAGCAGAAACAGCTTATGCAGGCCTCCTCAGAAAGTGATGGCAGACCATCCAAGACCTTGGGTTAAGAATGCTATTTTCTAAATTGCATCTGCCAGCCACCTTCGTATCACAGGACAGCCAAGAAAGTGGCGTGACCAGCAAGAACCTCTTTCAAGTGCTCTGGAATGATCACTTCGGTGTTGGCCTGTCATGGTGTGAAGTGGCTGTGGAACACTGTGCTGGAAGCAGTAGCTGTGAACCCTCACAAATGCAGACCTAGCCTGCGCAAAGATCTCCTCATCGCTGGCTTCCCTGCCGAAGTAAAACCCACTTTGGATAAGTGGAAGAGTCAGGCAAGCTACGCATTGTTCTGACTGCAGCACCCGAGCTGATGGTACAAGTATGCTGGCAGCTTCGCGGGGCATGTGCAATGTCAGTGCGCATGTGCGCGTGAATGTGCATGTGTGAAAGTGCATGTGCATGTGCAGCAGCAGCAGTAGGAGTTGTGTCTGCGACGATTTCTTGGCTTAGGAACATTCCGAAAGACAGGACAAGCGACTTCACGCTACAGCAACAGTGTGCATGGTGTGCTTTCTGACCCCCGTCTGGTTGGGCAGCTACATTTGATTGGTTGCCTCGAATCCTGTGTTGGTTACATTTGAGATGCCACCTGGCTCAGTTCTCTATTTTCCGGAGTGGCTTGTGACGATATGTGACGAGAAAAGCCGCGTTCGCTACATTCGTACGCAAACCTTAAGTTGCATGTAAGATACAGTAAGTGATCTGGACAACGATTTGCCTTGAGGGGTTCAGTTCTGCCCCGACCTCAAGATGTCACATCAATGCGGTTCAATGGCCCCACCCCTGGAGGTTGCAAGTCAGGCAAGCCACGTGCTGACGGCATCGTCCTGCGCGACCTCCCAGCCATCATTGCATATTTGCGTGGTGCAATTCACAGGTAGCTGGGAGGGTCGAAGGCTGAGGCACCAGATAGAACTGACCAAGTTTCGCCAATGCACTCACAATGGGCCAATGTGCTTTCCCCCTCTCGCCACACGGTGCATGAACGCAAGCATTGAAAACACAAACCGCCACAGGATGCCGAAGCGACCAACTATGACCAACTGATATTCGGACCTTGTGCTTCGAGACCGGCGCTGTCGTGCCAACGGCTGGAGCTGAGAAGATGACTTCCTGTTACCAACCCCAGGAGGGATCCCTCACTGCAATTAGCCTCTGAATTTCCACAGGGTTGTGGAATTTGCTGGAGGTGCGTCCAATGTGCTGCCACTCTCCCTGTAATACCAACCACAACAGCTGAGGCGTGCGCGGAATCGTGCAGGCTGCTTGACTGCGCGCAGCCCATGGCTGGGTAGAGTATCCGGCGCAGACACCCACCCGTCAGGCCACTAGATTTCACCAGAGCCACTGTGTCAACTTCCTTTGTTTATGCCCTGACAAACCGCGAAACCAACCAAGGACAGTGCGGAGACGGACCTCAGGCCTTGCTTTTCTCTTGCTGCTTGTAGGCTCTAGAAATGAACGGGGCTGTTTGCATCGCATCGCGCGCTATCCGGCTATCCCAATGTAGTCACAGCACCAAAACAAGTGCCACGTTCTGCCAACTTCCCGTTGACAACAACAACAAACAAAGTATACAAATGCAGTGCCTCTGGCATCCAGCCCCGACAGGAAATGCTGGGATATCCAGCCGTGCTACCCCATGAGGCTAAAACCTAGAAACCAGCAGTGCTGCAGTGCAGCCAGCCGGATAATTTGATTTGACTGCATCCGCCATGCACGAAACACTCTCATTGCTTGCGAGTATGCCGACGAAAGGCAGCTGTAGGTGAATCTAAATCTCAAAAGCTCGTGTGGCTCTTCCGGTTTGATCAAGATGTGGTCATGGGCTCTACATGCTAACACTACGTATGACTATGCCCACGAGATCTACCTACCGGGTATAGGATTTTTTGTGGCCGCGTGACCGCGTGTAAATTGTACTATTGTGCTACCTACCACGCATTGCCACATCCGTTGGTCGCGGTACGTCGTCATATGCCTGTCCATACCGGCCTACTATCCCGGACAAGGCATCTACTGGTTACGAGGAAGTTACGCGTAACTCACAACGTTTGCTCTCCACCAAGCTTACTTTCGTCATCTGCAGGCATATTGCGCATGCTTGGTGCAGTCAGCTCCACGGCTAGACCGAGCAAGACACAGAAGCCGGCATGGCAGTCTGACCCGCGTCCGACCCGCTCGCAAGGGCTTTGGGGATAGGTCGTGGTTACTCCCTTATCGCAGCTTTGATTGGAAGACTTCCATGGCCTTTGCGCCCGATCTGCTGGATGGTAGACCTGTGCTGAGTGGTCTATGACCAGCCACAGGGACCAACAAGCGGCAGCCGCGTTTTGCATGCGGCACGCCCCAAGATCTATTGATTCATTTCCAACTGCCTGTTTTCCAGTTAGTCAAGGAGGCCTGCTGTGTCGCATACTGAAACAAAGGCATCCCCTGGTGAAACAGCAGACCGCAAACAGTTGCCAAACCCCTCAACGGAACCTGAGAGGTTTGGAGTCTGCAGCTTGCTTGTCAATGTGGAGAGGATTGCAACTCTTTATTAACAAGACCTGCATCTAACACGTGCTATCTCCCTTGACGATTGCGTTTTAGTCGGATGGATACTTCAGCAAGACTCCCGATGTTTCGAGCAGCTGCGGCAGCATGAGCCTGCTTCAGGCCAATATGCTATGCACCTTGAGAGCTTAGCTTCCACATGACAAGCAGAGCTAGAGGTTGTGCCGCTGTGTGGGGAAACAGTAGTAGCTCCTCGCCATCGCTTGTGGTTGTCGTTGGAAATATGGGTAATATGGGTAAATGCACATTGAAATGGCAACGCACGGGAGTTTCGGAGTTTGTCTCGGGGCTGGACAAAGCCACACAGGCCAAGTCCCAAGCTCCTTGAACGAAGCTGCTACGAACTACGTCCCGTTTCCCACACGACTGTGCAACGTGCGGCTGGGAATGGCTAGGCGACACGTGATGCCTGTACTTGCTAGCTGTAAGAGCCGGCATTCCAGGCAAGATGACATGGACTCAACGTTTCAAACATTTTGTCTGTCTACCCACTTCATGGCTGTTGACAAGGTTTGCTAAGTGGACATGAACTGACCAGCTTAACTTGGAGCAGCGATCAGGCATGACATGGGATGACAGAGTTTTCTATGTTGGCATGAGGCTCGTCTTGCACAGTAGACTCAGTAGACACCGGACTAGCGCTTCTTGCCCGTAACGTCGGTCAAGCTCTTGCCTTGGCTTAAGGTTGATGAATCGCATCTTTCGGGGGATGAGAAGGAACAGCACTGCTGACTCATGGCAACTCGTGGTTTTGAGGCGCTGAATGCTGCCGCGGATGCGGATATACGGCTCCTGGAAAGCCTCCAGGACATCAGGCCGCTGATCGCGGTCCCGTGCCAGAAGGCGGCCTTGGCTGAGAGTCTTCGCAAAAAACACCTCTGAGAATCCGGTGTTCTGAAAGGCATGTTGACATTTTGCAGCGCGACATTGTCCGCTTCTTGCCGGTTTGGTCCGAGGATCGCAAGAACTCCTTGGCCTCGTTTGAGACTCTTGGGGCAGTTGGAATGACCTGCCATGGCAACAAGTTGAGCAACGTCACCAGCAACTTCAGTGGTTTCATGTCGCCCTCATGCGCCAGATTAGCCTACAAAGAGAGGTTGCAAGATTTCAGTTGACAGCGCCACGCATGCCAATCTGTCACTGTGCCGTGCTCGACTCATGATGTGTTCATGCCCGAACCAGCTCGAAGGTGTCTTCAATGCCCGTCGACCGGCGGAAGGCATCCTCCAAATTGCTTTCTGGGACTTGCTTGATCATTGGTTTGCTTTGTATTCAGCGATGGGCAATGGCTGCTGCCTTCAGTGTCGATCTCACATGATCTCATGGCCCTTGTTAAAGGTGGTCCTGGCTCTGGCCCTCTCCGAAAGGTCGACGATTAAAGAGGAGTTCCTGGCACGAACGTGGCTGTGTAACACTGCGTCAAGACAGCCCGAACAGGGACTTCGGAAAGAATGAAGATTTGGCTTAGCTAGTGTGTGAACCTTCAACTGAGCCCAAGCCGTTGCCATGTAGCAGCCGTTGCCATGTAGCAACCGATCTAGACTGCTGTCGCGGAGCTTTCGCGGGCGCACATGTAAGGGAACGAAAACTTCCTTACGTAGGGACCTTTAGACTGTAGCATGATCTTTAGATCAACATCCATGTGCAGCTAAGGCACGAAGAAGACCACACCGGTACTCCAGACCTGAGTGTGAAGAAGCAAGCCTTAAAGCTGTTCAAACGTGAGCCTTTGTTGCAGATTCCAGCTAAAAGCTGTTGCTACACGCCCGGTCGACTCTGAGGTCGGAAGATCAGATGCGGATTCGGGCAGAGACTGGGCCATCGCTGGCAAGCTCCCTAGCTGAGATCGTGACGTCCACTTTACCTCAGCAGCGTGAGTGGGAAATCTTCCTCCACTCTTTGAATCCCGTGCGGTGTAAAGGTTGACTAAACCCTCGCACATTGAGTGGATAAGCTAGCATCTAAACTTGCTCTGCGCGCAGCCGCCTGCAGTGGCCAAACTTATTCTCAGAAACAGAGCTCGCATGGGCTGGATTGATCAAGCCACTGCTGATAGTAGGGGATGCTGTCTCGTGACCTAGGCAAACGCACACAACGTGTGGTCCGTGCTGGACGAAGCCTCAAGAAAAGGAAGACACATGACTTTTAATGTCCGAGGAGCACTCGGGTGGAAGATACCAGGAGGTGCCGGCGCCCCGAGTGGACAGCTCAATGATCCCCTCGTTGCCTCACATGCCACAGCTGGATGGACAAATCAGGAAACTTGTTGATGTCTTTCTGGCAGACTCGCTGAAATTCGCGTGACACTTCTTGGGTCTTAAGGTGCGATAAGCGCATCTCTTCAAGTCTCAAAAATGTTCAGGCTCAAGCCATGGTCCGCCATTTTGGAGAGCCCGAAGTCACCAATCTTGACCTACAGGAGGTCAGCATCTGTCCGAATGCTCTGGCGTATGTCGCTTATATAGTGTCCTAGATGCAGCGCAAAGTTCGAAGTTCAAGTGAACCCTTCGACCTGCCCGGCGTGATAGAACACATTGGATGGCTTGATGTCGTAGTGAATGATCTTCCGGCCACAGGTGTTCAAGTACCGCAGTCCGCTCCTGAGCGTCTCTCCAGCTTACCAGCTATGTCACGCCTGATTCTTGCGCCACCTTGCGAGAGAAACTTAATTTTGCCAAGTGGCAGAATCTGAATAATGATGGCTTTTGCTTCCTTTTCCGGCAGAGGGCCACCGGTCTTCAAGCCTCATCTGGCGGAAGTGATCAGCTGGCTGTAGTGGGGCCACGAAAAAAAGGGGATCACAAGGCTGCAGCAGTAACAGCATGTAACATCTTACCTCCTGTTGCACCGAAGCGGCGCATGTCCAAAGTCTCACCTTCGCAAAGCTCCAACACCAGCACGAATGCGTGGCTGTCCAAAGCGAAGCAGTCGCGCAGCTGGACAATGCCTTGCATACATGTTTGGGATACTTTGGGCATGCAGCACAAGCAGTTCGTTTTCGTTGAGGGCTGTGCTATCTGTTGCAATGCTCCGATTATGCGCATAGATGTGCGCAAGGTGCTCTCTTACTTATCTTCCTCAGGAGGTCTTTCGCATCGGCTACCCGGTTACCAGGACTGACCTTCATTGCTTGCCAGACACGTGGATGCGTCAAGGTCTTTTGGATCTCGGTTTCCTGGGCAAGGCTCGAAGTGCAGCACACGAGCTGCGCTGGACAGTGTGAGGCCGGAAAAACACGTCAATGACGACCGGAACTTCTGGAAGGCTTGAGGAGGAATGTGGCAATCGGCCAGCAAGCAAAGCATATTCACTTAGAGTATAACATGTCGCTTTCACAAAGCGCGACCTGATGCTGGGGGGATGACAGGGAAGGACACGGGAGGCACTAGTAGGCACTACTATGGCCGTGCTGCTCGAACGGCCCACCGCACCAAATCTTGACGTGTGGAGTCCGACATCTTCGTCTCGATCTCGTTAAGCTTGATGGCACAGTAGCCTTAGGTTGGCCGAAGTCGTCCGATCGTAAGCCCCGCGGATGTTTCATGTGACATGCTTCAGAGTCGAGAGGCACATCATCTCCAGATCAAACGCCTTGTAAATCTCTGAGAAGCCTCCCTTGCCGATCAAGTTCAGCAGCTGAAATCTATCCTTCAAACGACGATCTGAGCTCGTCAGCAGTGCTCGGTCAGAGGGACGAGATCTCAACATGCATGGCACTGGTGCTTAGTTGAACATGAGGTGCACAATATAACTCCGCAGGCAGTACTTGCTAGCAGCATCGATACAAGTATAGCTGCAGCATGTCAATGGCACAAGCCCCTAGCACGACATGCTTTAGGCTTGTCTGCATGGAGCCCGAACCTTCACGAGAGGATAGTGTCTGAATCGTGACCTGGCGGTCAAACGGAAAGCCCAGTGGCTTACTGCAATGCACATTATGCCCACATGACATCACAACACCACAGAATTCAAGCCGCCCTGGCAATCCGAGCCGGCTCCACTTGTCTTCTGCGTTCACCAGCATCTTATTTTGGAGGAAGGCATGCCGTTCCTCAGTGTCACCGCCGCACGTGGCATTTTATGCGCTTCTTTCAAGTGCCTTCATTTGTACATTGGTGAGGCCTACTCTGCAGCAGTAGCCCAGAGCACGAAACAGCCCTGCGAGGCTTGGAGCTCTGAGGCGTCTTCCGCCCTCAAGCAGCTCTCGCGCTCCTTGATGGCTGTGTCTTCTCTCCTGTCCAGTCGCAGGAGCCGCTAGCATTCGCGACCGCTTTTTTCTGAAGCGCTTCGTGGCCTTGACATGAACTTCGGTCCTGCCAGGCCTGGCCCTGCCTTCTTCTGACAACTACAGCCTTGGGCATCCTGAAAGAGCATCCAGGCCTGATGTACTCCATCCGGTGGTTGCAGACCTCGCCTAAGCCCAGAAGCCCAGAAGCGCAAACATGGGGCTCCAAATGATAAGGCACGTAAAAAACGAGAGTTGAGTGCACAGTCCGATGCTGTCAGGAAGCGCTGCTCATCAGCTTCTTCAGTATTTACATCCGCTTCATCGTTCTCAACAGCCTGTCTGGGAAGTGTGGAACTTCGATTCTTGACTACGACAAGACCTGACTGTAGCTACTGTAGCTAAAACAACTTGTGCTTATCGCACCTGCTCGGCACATTTCTGTGAAGCCTCCCCCAGCTACGACTAACGGGGCCTTGTTTTTGGATTGCTTCGTCAGCGAGCCCTTCACGGCGGACACAGAATCCCGCTCCTGCCCAGTTGGGGGTCAGTGCTACTGTGTGAGACGGCCTGGCGAGCTCGCATTGGCAGGTGCTGACGACTAAGGGGACTGGCAAGATCTTAAGCTCCTTAGCACAGCTCTTTGTAAGTGGCAGTCCTGCTGAAGCTTGCTCCTCATTGCCTTGATGGCATCCTTACGGTTGATGGGTTTGACGGTGCCAGTTGCCAAGGCACGTTCGCCCGCAAGCAGTTGACCAAAAGCAGGGTCAGCTGGCGAGAACAAGACGAAGCACTTGCAACACGAATATCTTGAACCAAGAGGCTGCTTCCGAGCCATTCTCCCACTCGATTTGACCGTACAGGTTAGTCTTGTACTTGCCCACCTGATAGAAGCTCAGGTTCTTGCAGGTTTGCCTCCTTGTGTGTACTCCTAGCCTAGCAGACATGGAGGGCCATGTTCAGGGACTCGCCCGAGCAAGTTTGACATCACGATTGTTCAACGTCTGACTGCGCCCCGGTAACTTCTGGCTTTGTGTTGACTGGTTGCTGCATCTGTTGTGCTACGAAAGTCTGGCAGACCTAAGGGCGTCTCCAAACATCAGGCACAGTCAAGGTTATTCTAAGTGCCATTCGCCATAATATCCACATCCAACATCATCCAGCCGCTGGGGTGTAGAGCTCATACACCATCCAGTTTGCGCTGAGGCACACGGACACTGTCGTTGAACAGCTTAGCACGTGTCTTTTCCTTAGATCCCAAGTCCTACGTATGTACATCGCGTCGTCTGGAAACGCAAGCTGACAAGCAAAAAGTCTCTAGCACGCGGTGCGGAATTGGAATGAAGACCTATGCAAGCATTTCCTGTGTTCAGCTGAGTGGCTCTTTCATTCTTGGCATTTTCGATCAGGGCATCAGCTAGCATGAAACGGCCTGTCAGCTGACAGCTGGGAGGGTGCAGCCCACCCTCATCCACCGGCACCTGAAGATGAGGCCTTTGTGTAATTGCCTCCCCCTCCCCGGCACCTTTTCTGTGCAGGCTGTGAGGTTGTGAATGCTGCTTGCCGCCACAAATTGCGTGTGCCAGGCCATGGCGGCCACATGCGGCCACAGCGTCAGTTTCTACGACAGGATCATGTTGCATACCTGTGCGTGTCTGAAGCCACATGAAGCGCGTGAAGGCCTCGCTTGGCCACGCTGAGGAGATTTTGCATCTCCCGCTTCTGCTCCGCAAGCTCATGCCTTTGATGAACGAGGCTCCCTGATGTCCGTGAGATACGCCCGGCTACTGGCAGGCAAGCCGCTGCAGTCGCTTGATCTCGCGCTCTTTGGGGCATCCAGCCTGTAGACGCTATTCTTGGATCGGGCGGATGGTGACTGAAATCGGTAGAAGTTGTGGGAATCGTCAGTGTGGGCTCAGCTCTCTCTGGTCATCTCTCTGGTCCACTGCCTCTTCAGGGTCGTGCCCATGCTCCGGGGTCAGAGTCTGCCGGTGCTTTCCTTCGCGGTTGTCTGCACGCAGGAGAAAGAGAGCATGCGCACTTCACATGTGCATTAGCATGTGTGTAGAGTACAAACACACAGAGACATATACCTGCACATGTCAATTATGTATACTATGTATACTGTATACTTTCTTGAAGCTTTGTCCAAGTGGCGGCCACGGTTGACTGTTGGGCTGACATTCGCTTGGTCCGGATCCAGGCTTGGAACAGGCGGGTGTGGCCGCTTGCTGCCTGTCGGCAATAGCATCTGGAACGTGAGAAGCACACGGTTGAAGGAGGCAGACGGCACTCAGACTTCGGATTTCTGTACAGCGTTGACAGACTCTACAGCAATCATGTTCGGAGCCCCCTTCGGCTACGGGAGATGGCGCCTCGGCGGTTTTCGGCCGCCTTTGTCCTGGAAACTGGATGGCTAGCCTTGCACGCAATCCCATCGCAGATGCCGCAACGTATTCATACGTGCTAATCATGCCAGTATGCAGGGGATTTTCGGGGCTGCGGTCATCGAAACAAACTCGTCCTAGCTGGCAGTCACTCCTGGTGCTAAACCTTTCTGTTACCGGCCTGGCTTGTTGTCTCCATGGTCTCTGGCTCTGCCTCTGCAGGTCCAGAGGACGCCTCCTGAGCTTGCGGCCGTGGAGATGTTTCTCGGCATCCAGCGAGTTAGCAACCAAAAGCAAACCTCAACCCCAGGTCTACTTGCAGCCCGGGCGCATCTGTGCGGGATCTGCTCTCATGCTTGGGAGTCCTTCGAACACACAAATCGTACAAGAGGGTTTCATGCAATGACCGCTAGGGGTCTCACACCACCACAGTTTTCGCCCAGCAGAGATTGAGGCAAACTTGTTCTCGCATCTCAGTACCAGCATGTTGCAATCGCTGAGGCTGTGGCGAGGGATCCGTTGTGGCATCTGCCGCGTCCATGGCAACGCTTGCACCGCGCAAGCAGCGCCGGCTATACACTTTTCGGTTGCATGCGACATGGCTAGACCTCCAACAAGCCCGTGATGGCGCTGAGCTGATGGCTGATGTTGTCTTTATGCGAACAGTTCGGAAGTAACCTTGAGCGCCATGTCAGTCTGTGCCGCCCTTCATCGCCCTACTTCTTCGGACTAGGAGCAGCACATGCACCGTGTGGTCGTGATCAAACCCATTGTTCTGCCCCATGCAGCACACAATCAAAGCTCATGCGCATGCTTGAAGGCCAAAGCCCTCAGGAGCAAGGGCTTTGCGAACCCCACTCCGCGTCAAACCCCGAACACAAGCGCAACTAGCAGTAACTAGCGTGCGTTTTTGCCAGATTCTTCTTGTGGCAAACGACCTGGCACAGACTACAGGAAAGCCCTCAGCTGCGAGAGGTGTCTGCGCTTAGTGGCCGCAAGCGTCCAGATCGAGCAGTAGCACATCGCCTCCATGGAGTGCACCTTCGAGACATTTCATGTTTACTGGAACCGGGTGTGCTTTGCCTTGGCAGAGAAGCGCAGCTACCATATTCCATTGCGAGGTGAAGACAATCAGGGCAAAGCATATGGCAGGTAAGATTCTCCAGTTTCATTCAATGGTGAGCCTTGAGTGCGCGCTCCATCCTCTCCAAGTCTTTCAGCGACCTCTGGAACTCCAAGGGGTGTAGATCCTCGGCGAACAAAGTACATGTCATGACATTTTCTGCGAAGCTCGTCCCCGAAGCAGGGCTGCTCTGTGGTGGCTTTGCGGCTCTTTTCCTCTTCTCCTCCTCTCATCATGCTGTGGCTATCCGAACATTCGAGGCCGCCAGGCAGCTGCTTCGTGGTTCAAGGCTTTGACGCCTCTTGGAGCAGGACGTGAGCAGACAAAGGCCCTCTACCCAGGAAGTAATGTGCCGACGGAATAGTTCTTTACAGGTTACAGATCAGGCGGGATCCCGCAGGCGCAGTGGCCTTCTTTGATGGATGCTTTAATCCTGAGCTCATGTGGGCAGAGCATGCGACCGGCCCATGCACATTACCCTATAGAAATCCCCACAATCTGTAAGACGGCACTAAGTCACCAAGTATAGTAGCAAGGGCCAGTGGATTGAGACGACAGGTACCAGTAGATGGCTACAGGCTATCCTGGTCAGTTGCGTTCGATGGCAAGGGGCAGCTGCACGGCCTCTGGGCCTTCTTCTTTGGCAGCGTCTAGCAGCTGCTGAGCCTGGCCGACCTTACTGAAAGCAAGTCTAACTTTTTCGGAGAGCTTGAGCTGTGGTGATTCTTGGGCCGTGTCGTCGCATGAGAACACGAGAGCTCACACACGCACACCCACACACACAGACACACACGCTGCTGTGAAGAAGAAACCGAGAAACACATCGCATCCAAGCTGCCATCTTCCGCCGGAAATTAGGCGTCTTGTGCCAGAGATGCTTCTTCAGCGGCGGAGGTAGCTGAGGCATGATCAGCCTTTCCTTGGCACGCTTGGGGCAAACACCGGCTCACAAATGCGATCCCGAAACAAAGCTACGCTGTGACTGTCGCGTTGCCTTGGCTTACTTCAATGTGACAGAGCAAGTTTCAACACTGAGGTCATCTTGCCGCTGCTTTGCAGGGTGCGCAATGAAGCTGACCTCTGGTCAACGGAGTGCCAAGAACTTGAACTTGCTCTGGAAGTCTAGAATCTACAACTGCGATTCATCCTCGAAGGTCGGTGAGAGCAGTACACTATTGGCAGGCAGAGCACACATCGAGACACTCCGTTTGAATCTCAGAGTTGGGGCCCGTACTGGATGAGTTTGGGTCGAGGCTTGTAGCAAAGACCGATCAGCAGGCAGGACTTGCTTCATGGCTGGGTTTGTGTGTGCAAGTGTGCATCTGCAGGTTTATCCCTTGCCTTCTGCCTTCTGTTTGCCTGCGTCCGAATGAGGAAAAAAACTCTGGACACTTAGTCAACATAGTTGTGTACACATTACATATCCTGACTTGTGAGTGAAGACAATGAGTCAATCTGATCTATGTGGTCTGTGCTCCTCCTGTGGTCAGAAAGCCTTGATCTCATCGATTTGCTGAGCCACTCGGAATGTCAAAATTCAACAGCGACAGTTGCTTATCTGTCGGACCATGATGCTTGCCATGTTGTCTTGGTGCAACACTTACACGTTCTTTCGCTTGCCGGTCTGTCTTGAGCGGCACCCGAACGCGTCTTGAAATTTTTTACTCTGTGAAGCAGGCGATAGTCCGGCATTCGATAGATCGGCGAGTTGGTGCATCGACAGGTGTTGTTGGGTCATCGAAGGCAGTATGAAATACTGACTGTGTTCTGCAGGGTTCTTTCTCGAAAACCTTGAACAAAAGGCACTCATCCTTGTCCATCCCGGGGTAGTAGTACCACTTGTGCTCAGGGGAAAACTCAAGGGCAAAGTTGCTGCCGATGCGATCTGGGAAATGCATCTCATACTTGATCGCTCTCGAGTAGTCGACGGACTTGGCATCACAAACAGCCAGCGGACATCGAATAGCCGGCGTCTCGCCCACACTCCTCCAAACATTTATGAAGCAGTATCTTGAACTGAGAATCCTGTCACAGTCCTCCTCTGACAGCTGCGTGCCAGTGTAGCTCTGTGATCGCGCCAAGTCGCGCACTCTGCGAGGTGCCGACTCATCGGTATAGTCTGTGTGCACCCTCATCACAGGTGCCGCTGCTTGAGACGTCTCGGAAAGCACGTTGAGACTGCTGGCGCCGGTCTCACGGACTGTGTGGTCAAACACAATCACGTCTGTACAGCCGGTGGTCTCCTTCACAATCTCTTCCACTTCCCGGTAGTAAGTCGTTGACACTTCGGCCGGGTCTAGAAAATTTGAGCATCGGGTCACCTGCTTCCTCAGTTCGAAGCCATTGACCTCGAGGGAGGCTGCGATGCCTTGCCTAGCATCTCGGATGTGCACAGCAGTTTCTTCATGCTCGTCTGCGAGTTCACCTGCGTCCGGCACACGGATGTACCTGCCGGTGCGCTTGCCTGGGACTAACTTTTGGTAGTGCAGCTTGGATACGACACCATCATGCGCTGGTGGATGTTCGTCGGCTTCCATGTTCGGGGCTTTACTCGAACTCTACGGCTCTGGAGGCACTGCCTACCTCAGTGATTCAAAAGTTTCAGAATGCTTCCGTCCGTGCGATGAATGCTGGCAACAGTCAACAGGAATAATTCAGGGCGCACTAGGGCACAACCGCAAAGCGACTCCCAAACACTTTGTACTCCCCCCTCGTCGCCCTGTCAAGCTCATGTCCATGATGACTTTAGCATCCTGCCCCTGCCCGTAACATGTGGTGACTCAGGTAGTCATGGCAACGGGTTTGCAGGAAAGCGCACCGCAGTTCTCTTCCTTTTCTCCGTTGGTGCTCAAACATCCCACGCAGCTCCTTGGCAGCTTGATATGGGCGTTAAACAGCACTTCTCCACAAGCGTGTGTAAGCATTGAGCTTAACTGGCTACACTCCAATCTCCAGCAAGCGGCCGCCGGTGGAACGGTTTTGATTCCACACCTGCAACGTCTCAATCGCATTCAATCGCCTGAAAGAATTAAGTAATTAAGCAGCGTGATATAGCCTTGTAAAGCCCAGCCGGGCAAGCCGTTTCCTGCGACTCGGACCGAAGGCCCTGGAAGCTGAAGCAGCCATTGCCTTTGTAAGCATTGTAGACAGGTTCTTGCACACATTTTAAGCACCATGTGAGATCTCTGGTGGCAGCTGCTCCAGGACGGAGAGGTCACAAAGTCAGGGGCTTTGCAAGCATGCGAGCAGAAGACACGCTGATTGAGATGCGACTGTTTCTCCACTTGGGCAACTTGTAGGAACTGACATTCCAGGTGCCCGGCTTTGAAAAGCCTGCGGCAGCAAGCTGACAGCATGACATGCGCCCGAGCATGACAGCACGGCATCTGGATGCTAAAGCAACATTCTCTGACTTTTTCGGAAGTTCCACTCAGTGCCACCGGGTACCCAAAATTTATAACCTGTCGGAATCCCTGCCTGAAGCAACTCCGGGCCGGTGACAGTTGCGGCCTCATGGTCGCAGCTGTGCAAACAAACTGGTGCTGCGGTCCGATTACAAGTCTTTTGGGATGCGGACTTGCAGAAAAGTTTCCACCTCGGTACGTTGTCTGCAGGCATCCGCTTGTCGAACCAGGGCATTTCTGAAACCATCCGAAAACAGATGCTTCTGTCTGAGGTCCAGCATTCTCCACGTCGATCCTGAGCTGCCGCTGCACTCAGCTTTGCTTGGTTGGATCTGGGAAGACGCGGAAACTAAGCCAAGGACCAGCGGAGATGGAGCACGTCGGGTCGAGTCATAGCGAAGGGACTTTGGGTGGAGAAGGCCTGAAGAGCACTTCCATTTTAGGCGTTTGCGTGCACAGGGGATGCCATGAGCAAGGGTACAGAAGCCAATCCCTACCTGCTATCATCATTGAATCAGATAATAAGAAAATATTTGTGGCTTTTGCAGCTGCTCAGGTTGCTCTGAGATCCGGGTGGGCACGGGATGGCAGAGCATTGCATTGGCAGAGCCATGCTGAGCTCATGGCCCGCTCGGCAGCTGGCTGTGGGGGCCTGCACAGGGCTTCTTAAGGGGTGAGTGGTCCAAAGCCGGAAGAAACTGTACTTCTGGGTTGGGGCGGGGGTGCGCCCTGCATCTCCCCCCACTCCCCGCACACCGCAAGTCCCCCGATATGTGGGGCCTACATTTATGACACGGGATGTCCGGCCAAAGGAAGGATTCACGGAATATTTATTTAAATGTGTTTTTTATGGTTTTTTAATGATTTCACAAATCCTCGATTTATGATTTATTTGTGGATATGACAACACATATGTTTACTTTATGATTGGAAATGCGTGGGCTATGCTTTCTACCTGCTCAGGACCATGCAACCACATAAGCCACGCAAAGCAAGACATCAAGTATGGCTGGTTTGGGAGGTTCAACCCTGGCTTGGGCGAGAGGGGGGGGGGGGGGAAGGGGCGGGAAAGGGGTGGGTTGGGCGGGGGGTGGGTGTGGCGGGGGGGGGGGGAGGGGCGGGGGCGGGCCGGGGGGGTTGTGGGGACGGGGGGCGGGGGAGAAGGGGAACAGCACCTGGCAACTAGAAATCCTGCAAAACACAGTATATTTTATGATTTCTTTATGTTCTGTTTCGTTTAAATATTTTTCGTATGTTCTTTTTCGAATGCTTGTTAAAATTTTTCATGATTTGGATTTGGCCTGTTTGGCTCTCCACCCCCCACCTCCTCGGCCCCTCCCCCTCCCCTCCACCCTGAGTGGAAGCAGGCTAAGGTAGGCTCCAGAACAAGCTTTGTCAAAGCTAAATGAAGCCATTTCGCAGGTCATAAAAACACTTAAATTTTAAATCATAAACACAAGAAACCTAGAAATTTACCGGAATCATAAAACTCATACAAAAATATTTTATATCAGGGCTCCTGTGGCTGGAATTGGTGTCATAAGCCTACATGATCCACAGACAAGACTGCAAACAAGAACGCGAGCAAGCTGCTGACTCAACATCTTTCGTGAATGCCTTTGTTCGAGCAGCAGCTTGGGAGTCTGATGCTGGTTCGGTTGTGTTTGGTTGATGGCCTCGCCGAAACAAATTCGTCACATCTCCACAACATAGTTGCATAGTTCGCCCTTCTCATTTGCCTGGATCCTTCCTACTCACCGAGTTGTAGTGTGCGTGGCCAATGTGATGAGACATGAAAAACTCGACATGCCCTGCACGACAGAATTGGCAATTGGTTTTCAACGTTTTGTTGACATTCTGGGTCATACTTGTAAAGATCTCATGTTCCAACACACCCACGCATGCATCCCTGCCGGAATAGAATAGGAACAATTGTGGAGAAGTGAGCACGGCCACATACATGTCGCAATGGCTTGCATCTATCCTGCATTTACTCCAACATTCAATGCATGCACTGATTTGCCTGGAGATAGCCTCCAGCATCCCCTGCAACAGTGAAGGTGATGCATCTGACCTGAGCGCACACGGCATTGACATGTCTCCTCTCTCGCATGGCATGGTCCAAGAGGTGGCTGAGCTCACGACCCCGCCAAGACCAAACGCTGCAGACGCGGGGTCACTCTAGCCACCAGCCAGGCCAATTCGATCCCTGCCTGCATTCGTTGGAACGTTTGGCTTCGAGGTATTTCCTTGCATTTTGCGGTCTTGGCGCAGCTGCGATTCTAAGATCTACAAGGAGGGGTTTGCTCCCCACATGGCACCTTCTTCTCGCCCAGCCCAGTGCAGCCCGTTGAAAGTGCAAGCCTGAATCTAGGACCATTCAAGCTCTGTGACACCATGCCATTGCGCAGGGCACACCCCGACCCAGTACTTCTAACCTGATGCTTTATGAAGGTCCAGAGAGCCGCCTTGGGCTCCTGCACGCGAAGGGCCATGGGGCTCCGGAGCCTCCTCCGAAGAATCTGCAACGCCACGACCTCTAAGTCAGGGTCCAGGCAGAATACTTCAAAGGACATTTATGTTTTCCATTGTTGCGGCGGCCACGATACTTCAAAGCATGCCGCAGTCGCTCTAAGACAGGAACCCCCACGTCGAGCCTTTCCAGCCTCTCATGCTCCGATGTACGACATAACATGTTTAAATGTTCAAACAATTGGGCTTGGGTGCGCATGAATGGCTTTGTTTCCAAGCATTCTGGCATTCTGGCATCAGCTGTCCTTCTTGAAGAGCAACATGGAGGATTGTGGTCAAAACACACCGAGCAAGATAGAATGCATTGGCAAAGCAAACAAGCTCAAAGTGCACGCCTCAATTCCTGGAGGCTGCTTGCCAATCTGCTCGCAACTGCTGACAGCCACAGCCCGACCTTCGCGAAGGCAGCTGATTGCAGTGCCAGCGCTGAGAAACCTTCAATTCAGAACTTGGGCAGCGGCTCCAAACTGAGACAGAAAGTGGAGCTTGTCAGAACCTCTCCAAAAAACACGAGTCTCCGTGCTGCGAGAGGACGTTTGGAGCATCGTGCGCCAAGTCTGAGTTTCAGGCGCGATGCCGGTGCAGCATTCCCGCCTCAAGCCGATACCCGGTGCAAATAGCAAACTGCCGCATCCGAGGTCGGGTTTGCATGGAACTGGAAGATGCCTCCTTAGCAGCCTCTTGGAAGTCTAGCCAAGCTCCGAAAAGCTCCCATCAAAGGCCTCTAACGGCTCTAAGCCTGCAGTGGCGACGCGGCGCCGCAGGCACTTACGTGCTTAGATGTGTTAGACACTGTGTCACTCCTGCTCCGCGTTTAGGGCTCTTTGGGTCACACAATTTCCGGCCTCCTCGCCCGGGTCCCTATGAATCGCTACACTGCCTAATCCGGCCTGGCCTTCCACCGCATCCTCGGTCGATTCCAGGGAGCTGCCTAGTGAGGTGCCTTGCGGCGTTCTGCGAAGATTGCGGACTTTGCGGTGCTTGCTTGCCAGCCAACGGTTAGTTCCTAGCTTTCGTCGCAGTCTTGTCTGCTTATGTCTGATTGTGTCAGGGCTGCCAACATGCAATAGCGTCGCGCAATCATTGAGCCTCCGCTGGCATCCACAGTGGTTGGCGGGCTGTGAGACGCCGGCACCTGCGAAACGAGCTGGCGGAGGACTGGCGTTCAATATGTGCTCTGAATCCGGTCGTGCTGCATGCTGATCTGCTCTTCGCTGCTCATCTCGCACAACGCGAGCCTGTCCCTGCCAGGAATATCCAGCCTCCAGAGAGACTAGAGCCTGGCGAAACCCGTCAATGTGGGCTCTTGAAATGCACATGCGGCGGAAGCAAGATCAAACATGCCACGCCCATGGGGTAGAGCAAACCGTAAGACATGCAGAACGGACTTGCAAAATTACAAAAAGTTTAAAAAGCCAAGGGCCGAATGGTCGCGGGCACTTGCTGCAAGCATAGTTTTGCAGTATCCTGCCTGCGCGCTGGACTCGACCAAGTGTTCGGCGAAGGAACGGTGAGCCTCCACACGCCAGCGGTTGGCCTTCGGGAAACCGGGTAAAGAGCGAGTTCAAACTTTGTTGGATCTTGCTGGCCCTAATTGCCCAACATTTGCCAAACACCCGCCTGCATGCGGATGTGCTTAACGCTCCCGAAGTGGTTCACTGCCCTGACAGCCCACAAGAAGCTGATGTCTGGGCACCCTCGTTGGATGTGTCGTCAAAGCACCCATCAGCAAACCAAATTTAGCTGTATCGCTCTGGAGACATATCCGGCAGTATTGGGTACCAGTAGTTCTGCTGGCATGGCCTTGCAAGCGCTGCAGCAGCTGCCGGCGACTGCAGCTTGCAGGCCCTGAAGTGTTTTCCGGAGGGGTCCGGGTGCTTGCGGAATGTTGCGGCAGCCGGAACCAGCTCGGTAGCATTTCGCAAAGTTGTGCTTCATGTCAAGGCCAGAAAGAGAAAGGCGCACGGAAGAAAGCGATGGCAATCGGAACATCCCGCCTGAAACCCAACAGGTGAAGCTGCGGCAGTGGCCCCACGTTGGCCGCAGCTAAGAGCCTTTCTCAGCAGAGCAGTGGAGCTGGTGTAGGTGTAAACTTAGTAGCTTTCAGAAAACTTCGGCTCGCGTCAATGTTCTGCTGGTCTAGGCCGCGCATGTCGTGCCTGAAGACCCTGATTCTGAAGAGTAAGTGAGAAGACTGGTTGGAACGGACAAGGCCATTAGCTTGATATAGAGTTGAGCTCAACAGAATGACTACGCGGCAGGCCAATACATGTCTCAAGGATCATCTACGTCATCATTTCCCATGCACTTGCCAGCTGGGCTTGCGGACTGGGCATCAGCATCGGCAAACTCGGATCCACTCAGGTCCTTCGTATGGTATCTGCGGCTTGGGGTACGGAGCTTGAGTTGCAAGTTTTTTGTGGGTGGTGAGCAGTGGAGTGCCGGCTGCAATTGCTGCCTCATATGAGCCACCTATAGATCAACTTTCATTTTTCGATTGGGCACATCACGGATCTTGGGCATTCGCCACCGGGCTACCAACGCAGCAAGTTCTTTTGTAAGTAGCTTCACTATGAGCTAAGATGCGGGCCAAGACTTGCAGGCTGCTGGCACTGGACCTTTGCTCGTGCTTCGCTGCTGATGCATCGTAGCTTCTAGTACGTGATGGTAGCATCATGTAGTAATGTAGTGCCTTTCTCCCGAAGGAAGAAGTCTGCTCAGTTACCTGCCTGCTTTAGCACGCAGCATCCTCCATTTGGGTGGGGTGGGGAGATGATTTCCCACGTATTCCCGCACCAACATTCCAGTCAAGGTGAGTGCCGACAAACTGTCATGCATCCTATGGCGATGCTACACTACCTTGCTTTGCCTGAGTGGCGTCAAAAAACCGAAGGCGCAACTAATACAACAACTTGTTGATTGCGGACGGAGTCTTTTTAGCGCACAGAGTTGACTTTCGCGGCGCATCTCTTTAGCTTGTTTGCTCACGCGAGCTTCGCGCCTGATCCCGCCCTTCACTCTTAAGCTTGTCCGGGCTTACGCTTTTTCGCATGCGAAACCCCTCCCGGCTTGAGCAGACTAGACGGCAATGCAACAAAAACCTTGGTCAGCAGAGTTCGGAAAAATCCTTTTTAAGGGACCGGGTGCCCGGCAACATCGCAGCAAGGTTCAACGAGTCGAAGGAGAAGCCGCCTCTGATCCTGTGGGCGTATGATGCACGGATGCTCCAAGGCAGCGCCGATGACACCGGGGATTGTGAGCTGGCTGATGGCTGAGGCCAGGACTGGATTCTGGTCAGTTGCGAGAACTCCTCATGCTTCGGAGCTTTGGTTTTGCGAAGATCGCTTGACCAGCCGTAAAGGAACGTAAGGAAGGTATCACTCCTGTCTCGCATTCAGCTTAACAACCGTGACTGAAGGATGGAAACTGACAGTGTGCCTCGAGTTGGATTCAGTAACATGTGCCCGACTGCTGCGGATGCTTGCCGGCCTGCTGTCCACAGGCATGCGCAACTGGCGAGCTTGCGCGCAGCAGGCTTGCTGCTTGCCGAAACCTCGGAAGATTCCCATGCGTCTGGCCGAGCTCTGAAAGATTCGGCTCCTTTCCAAAACAAGTCACATGACATGACACACGATGGACATCGGGAGCAAGGACTCCAAGATGTGCGAAGTGTCCAAATCAAGGAAAACTTGCGCGTCGAAGAACTGAAAAACTGTGTCCACTATTCCGGCTGATCAGACCCAAGTAGACAAGGAAGTTGGTTATATACAGTTGTAAGGTGTAATGTTGCTCCAGAAGTAGCAGTATCCCTGCCAACGGGGAACTCAAGGTAGCTAGCCTATCGTTCCAAGCCACTCCCGACGTTAACTATCGGAAGGATCCCCAGAGTTGCTATCTCCAGGGGGTGGTAACCTATCGTTCAAGATGTATCCACTAGCCGTCCGGCTGCGTGTTGTACACCTATCCCAATATTCACCTGAACAGCCACCTGCTCTCAGTATCCTCCGGCCTCCGGCTATGAGTTGTAAAGAGAACAAATAACTATCCCAAAGGTTAGGGAAGGACCTATCCCTCGTCAACGCCCGATCCTTTTAGCTCCTCTGGCCTCCGGCTGCGAGTTGGCTAATCAGATCCACAACGTACAGGGACACTATCCACGGGGGCGAAAACTGTACAGGCGGGGCGCAGCTACACGTACGAAGTCAAGAAACAAACAAAAGAGAAAGGTGAATGAATGTACAGTGTGCTTATGTTGCTGTCTTGTTGCCCTGTAAGCCCAGACAGCAACAGCACACGAAATTCTATCCAGGCCCCTCCATCTATCCCAAGGCTCAGTGCGCTATTCCGGCTCGTCCGCGAGGAGGTCGACATCTATCCCGGAGCAAACCCGAAATCAACTGACATCAAAACAATTGCTCCCCCGAAAGTACCTGAAAGACGTGGTGCGAAACACCCCCCGTGATGGGGGCGTCAGCTCGCAGAGTGACGTCTCCCAGCATAAACGATGAATTCGCGAATCCTCGTCCGGTTTGCATCAGACCTTCAACACAAACGCAGGAGGGATCGCCAGCACGGTCTCCAGCCCCTTTGAGGCGCCCACCACCACCCGCGATTACGAAGACCACATCGGCGACCCTCGGAAGCAACACCGTCATCCGCAAACCTTCGGAATCATCGTCTGAGCACACACGTCTTCGACGGTGCCCTAATTACATGCACCCAAGATGTTTGCTAATCCGCATCATTGTAAAATTGGTCACTCATCTTCTATCCCCTTACGCCGAAACTCAGTTCATCTCGTCCAGGCACTATCCCTTGCAACATCGGCCCTTTCACTTGGTTCAGTACCCCTCCTAGACGATGTAGCCCTTTCTTTTGCAGGAGGGACTTAATGGTGGCCAGCCATGCCCACAGAAGCTGTCTGACGAGGGCCGAGAGGACTTACTGGTGATCAGCCACGCCCCTCCACTCACAAGCAGTAACCTTCGTCATTGGTTGGTCTGCGCCCGTCAGGGAACGCCCATAAGGCCAGCTGCTCGCAGTTGAAGCAGTAGCTGCGTCGCTCCCACTCATCTCACCCAGCGCCTTCTTTACGTACATGTCCTCGACGAATATATCCCCTATCCGGAAAGTCCTATCCCAGGCTTGGCTCACGCGACGAAGCAGAGCCGCGGAGGACAGCGGGCCATGGCAATCCTAACCGCTGCATCACTCCATGCGCTAGGGGCATGACTTTGCATGCGCCCTGCAGATCTATCCCTTGCCACGCCACCTCGTCCAACGACGTGAGGAGCCATCCCACGCACATCAGCAGACGTGACGCCGTTAATGGTGGCAGGCGTCTTCCTTCTTCTCGTCGTGGTTTCTCTCGTCCAAGTGCGTCGCAACGGCGGGCACCTACTCCCACTGATAGTCGCCGCTCTGGCCGCGAGGACTTATTGGTGATCAGCCATGCCTCCGCTGCCGTGCACGCTCCGTCTCGCAGCAACATTGTCTCCGCATTCTGCAGATTTGCCATACACTGCGTTGTTATGTTCGTAGACATCGAACAGCCTCCCGTCCGGAACGTTGATCATCATGCATTGGCAGGCAGGCTCACGGCTAATCCTTCCCTCTATCCCCCCGGCCACCGGTCGTCACGTAGATGTTCGTCAGCATTTTCCTTTGCCAGCTTCCGGTTCACATGCATAGTAACATGTACTCCCCCCCGCACACCGTATTCAGCCTCGACGTGTAATCCCTTCACTCGTGTCGTAATCTCCATGTAGTACTACGCATTTCTATCCACTCCCCCCGGCTCGCAGATACCGTGGTGACATAGACAATGTCATAGTTGTCCTTTCCCCCCTGTGCCGGTGGTCTTTGCATTGACGCATACATTTTCCTAGATATCGCAACTATCCCGTTTCTATACGAGCGAACTATCCGTAGACGAACTCAAACTCATAGAAAGCTCCCCCCGGCTTGTGGGCACCGCGTGGACATACACAACGTCACACATATCCCTCCGCCCCCCGGATGTCGACCAACAAAACCACACCTATGTCCTTTCTATCCCAGGCGTACTGCATTAAGATGTACAAGATTAACAATACGTCGTAGTCCTATCCCTATTCCGGAAGAGTCGGGCCTATCCCCTATACGTGTTCCTCATGCTCACAACGCTGCGAAATATCCCCTTGAGGTTGCCGTCCGCGAAGCTCACCATGCACCATACTCCCTTTGCCTTTCTGAGACGAGGTCCGACTGCTGGGCGCCAAACGTCAAGACCGGCAACGGTGTATTTAGTACGCCTTGTATCCCATCCCGGGCCAGAACAGTGAAGTAGAGGACGCGAAGCTCCGATGCCTGTATCCCTCGGGGTCGAAACAGTGAAGTAAGGGACGTGAAGCTCCGCTATCTGTATCCCTTCGGGACCAAAACAGTGAAGTAAGGGACGTGAAGCTCCGCTATCTGTATCCCTTCGGGACCAAAACAGTGAAGTAAGGGACGTGAAGCTCCGCTATCTGTATCCCTTCGGGACCCAAAACAGTGAAGTAAGGGACGTGAAGCTCCGATCTGTATCCCTTCGGGACCAAAACAGTGAAGTAAGGGACGTGAAGCTCCGCTATCTGTATCCCTTCGGGACCCAAAACAGTGAAGTAAGGGACGTGAAGCTCCGCTATCTGTGTCCCTTCGGGACCAAAACAGTGAAGTAAGGGACGTGAAGCTCCGCTATCTGTATCCCTTCGGGACCAAAACAGTGAAGTAATGGACGTGAAGCGCTGGTACTTCTATTCCTTCGGGAAGGTTTGAGCAGCAAAGATCTCCACTCTGTATTCCCTGCAGGTATCACAGGCCCTCCACTCTGCAGTTCCTGCTTGAAGGATCCGGGCAGCAAATATCTCCAGTTCGTATCCCTGCAGACAGAGAAGCCCTCCACCCTGCACTCCCTGCGTGCTTGCAGGATCCGGCCAGCGAAGATCTCCACTCCGTATTCCCTGCAGGCAGAGAAGCCCTCCGCCCTGCGCTCCCTGCTTGCTTGCAGGATCCGGCCAGCGAAGATCTCCGCTCCGTATTCCCTTCAGATCCATGAGAAGCGTCGGGTAGCAAAGCCCCCCGCGTGCCTTTCTGCAACTCGATGACTTTTCCTGGTAGCTGTTGATGTTCCGGCTGCTTCGTGTTGGGCAGGCAGCGGCCCGCTATGACACTCCAACTGATATAGCCCCGGCGCACAGTCATCAAGTCGACGATGGCTATCACCACTATCCCTCCCCTTTGCGACGCCGTATCCGCCCTCCAACAGCTCCTGCGTGAAAGCGATGGAATGTCTTAGGTGTATTCCCGCCTTGGCTATTCTATTCCCTGACGTCTGCGTGGCAAATCCAAAATATCCCAGAATCAATCTGGCTATCCCTGCTGCACATGCTTGACTCGATGGAACTCTCCTTGCTCCCAAACCTTGACTCGACGGCAATCCCTGCTGCCAAACTTTGACTCGATGGATATCCCTTGCTCCCAAATCCTGACTCGATGGATTTCCCTTGCTGCCACATCCTGACTCGATGGATTTCCCTTGCTGCCACATCCTGACTCGATGGATTTCCCTTGCTCCCAAATCTTGACTCTATGGCAATCACACATTTTCCTTGCACATATACTCCCGACATGCAAATTCCGCCACAAATCGTACATGAGGAGCCCGCACTATCCCCCTGCAAGCAAGACTTGATGATATCGCCACTCTTCTATCTTCGCCATCTTGTCCTTGTCATCCGTCCGCTCGTTTCGATATGCCATTCACTATCCAAGCCCCCATCTCCCTTGGCCACCCGAGCACGTGTACATCACAATGTGCCTGCCGATGTGTCAATGTGCAGAACCGCGTCCGGGGCCAACCTCCCTGATAATCAAAGCAAACATTAGGCTCGTAGGGCATTCGCCAGACCGCTCATTCCACGCCACTGCCACACACGCGTCATCATCTTCATCATGAGCATCTCATCTGTTCGAATCCTATGTATCTCCCCCCCGTGTCCCGGGCAAACCCCCCAATAAGCAGGACCTGAATCTATCCCGTTCGCTCATGCTTCGCTTCCACTCTATCGAGCTAACCCCCCAATCAGCAAGACCTGAATCTATCCCGTCCGCTCAGGCTTCACTTTCACTCTATCCCGTCCGATCGCCAAAACGACTCAGAGTACCTCGAGTCCGTCCGGTCATATCTTCGGGCGATCCAGGCTTATCGCAGAAGTGTCTAGGCTTCTCCCAGATGTGTCCCAGGCCTGTAAATTGACTATTCCGGCCATCCAGATGTATTCCGAAACTATCCACCGGCATCCCAGAGACGTCGAAGGTTCCCGACGCCTCAGTTGCATCCCTTGTCTGTAATCATCCTATTCCCGTGCGAGCTTCAAGCCACCACCAAGCGTACTGACCGGGCTTCCGCGTCTCCCCGTTCTCAAACATCAATGCGCCGTTCGCCACGTCCGCCTGCATTCCCCGGAACATTCTGGGCCTGAATCTTGATCCAGCTCGCGCCTTCATTCCGTCGACGATTTCTCTCTCGTTGTTCACTGGTCTCCAGAGACTGGGATCTGATAGTTGTCGTCGATGTTGGTTATAACCCCTCTTGTGGTTCGGAGTTTTGCGACACTCATCCGCAGCATGGGATATAATACTCCTCGAAATCCCGCTCGAACCCCTATCCCGAGTTTTGGGATACCCCCCCGCAACATTGGACGTACTCCTCAGCGAAGCCCTGCTCGAATCCCTATCCCAAGACACCCCCCGTTCGAGTTGGGCGAGCTGCGTGACGAAGTCCTCAGTGGAATCAATTGTTTGCTGATCTCTGGGCGGGACGAGCGCTGCAATGAGGTCGCCCTCTGGATTAGGGTAAAAACGTTCCCTATCCCTGTTCGCGGCGCAGCGTTCTCTGACATCTGTGTAGTCTATGTTCCTAGCGGACACGGCATATTCCCGGGTAGCCTCAGGGTTGCGGCCCGCCCCTGGAAGAGAGATGCTGCGCCCAATCTTCCATGTACTGGTAGTTTTGGTCCGCCCTCCACTCCTCTATTCTTTTCTTGATTCTATCATATAACCAAGAGTGTGTTTTACCCTCTGCCGGTCTCTTCCTCCAGGCCTCGATGTCATGGTTCAAGAACGAAAGGTGCCGCACCTTACTATGCAGGATATCCCCCAGTTGCTCATCGGACCATGTGCCTCGCCCCGTCGCTTCAACCCGCACGCGCACACTATCCCATTTGTCCATGAAAACGTCCAGACTATCCACCTCGCATTGACCTGAGTATTTCTCACACGCAGTACAAGACAAGGCCTCGTTCAACACCTCCTGCTCCCTATTGGGAGAAACGCTGTAAAATCTCACCACCATGCTTAGTAGCCTCATAGCCGACATTGTCTCTCGCCCAACCGTTCGCTTGAACATCTCCCCCTGCACTTTACTGGCCAGACTCGTTGATTTGATCATATTCCGCAGCCCTTCCCATAGCTTGTTTTCCAAAGCCGCATACTTCAATGGTCTATCCAATTCGCTTTCACTCATATCCCTAACATGCAGAATCGTGGAGTATCCGTACTCCCCGTCGTAAATGTACGCGCTTTTCACCGCCCGGGCCACTTCCCCAAGCCACGTGTGTAGATTCGCCGGATTGGGCTCCTCAGGAAGGATCATATCAAAGCACTGGTATACTATCCCTAGATACTCCCGTCGCCTCAACTCAGGATCAACGCCACCATGACCGTCTCCACACTGTAGTGCCTGACGCATTCTACGCTGCTCTTCGCACGTCTTTTCCACTTCAGCTACTCAAAACCGCATTGCGCTCATCTCCGCCTCGATGTTGTTCCGTTTTGTTGCCGCATCTATCCGTTCAGTGAGCTCCGTGATGAGACCCTCCTGCGTCTCCTGCATGGTCCTGAGCCGCGCGTTCTCGTTCTCGAGCTGTTCGATTCTTCTCTGCGTTTGGGTTTTATACTCCCTCCATTCGCCCTTGTCCGCCGCATTCTCGTTTTGCATCTTCGCTATCGATTCACGCATCTCCTGAACCATGACTTCCAACTCTTTGATCCTCACGGATGCAACGAATGTTTTTGCATCCCTCGCCTGCTGATCCCGCACACGCCGAAGCATCTTGGCCATCTCCGCGACATTTGCCTCTATTCCATCTATCCTCCCAGCGATCCTGACACATGCGCTCCGCGCCCCATCGTCAGCGCAAGTGTTGTCAGGTCTATCAGCGCTCCTCGCGATATTCCAGCGGTCCCGATTACTGCATTCTACCACGCGTAACCTATCCCTCAGCTGCTTGTTCTCGTCCATGATTTCCGCATGTTCCTTGCCTATCTTCTCAATCAGCTTTTCCATGGCATCAACTCTCCCCTTCACGGTGCCTACATCACCCGTCATCACATTGATACTCTCACGAATCTGTTGCAGAGGCTCCGCGATGTTCCTCGACATTGATAAATCCATCGTCCCTTTCATTCGCTTGAGCTCGTCCACGACATACCTCACTCGAAAACTCATCAATTCAACGCTTTTCGCTATCCCTTTAAATTCGCCCCGCTCAACATGATTGACGCCTTTGCTTGCCTCACCGTGCTCTCGGCCCAATGACTCCACAGCCTTTGCCAACTCCTCCCTAATCCAGCTCCGTAGATCCCGAATGCTATCATCCAATCTTCGTTGAACGTTGCGCTCCACATCAATCATCTCGGCGCGTTGTGTAATGGACTTATCTTCGACCTCATCCAGTCTATCGTTGATCCTCCTGAGCCCGTCCCGAATCTCATCATTCATCTCTGTGGCCGCATTCCTGATGTCAATAGTCACTCCCTCTATCGCATCGACTCTGCCCTCACATCCTTCATATTCCGATATTCCATTTCCCCTTGCGGCGGCATCATGTGATATCCCGTTCGGGGGTTGCGGGGGAGGGGTACTTATCGTATATTCCATCTTCTGGGCCCTCGTCCCAGCATCAATCTTTGGTGACCTTGCTATGTCCGAAGATCCTTGGCTGATGTCTCCTATTCTCCCATTTAGCGGCGCGTTCCCATTCAGTCTATCCAACACTATCCCAACGTCGACTGCACCACCTTCTGGACCGGCCGAATCTCTCGTCCTATTCCCTGTCCCCTGGCGTTGTTCCACTCTTCGACCCTCAAGAAATGCCAACATCACGTCACTGCTGTGGTCGATGCTATTCCACCCAATGCTCAATCCTGCGTTCCTCGCTCCGAGCTCTATCCCCTTTGCGCCACCCATACTCCCCAGCCCTATCCCATCGCCACCACTTCGATCATTGCCCCACTCGTCCACATTAGCGATGGTCTGCTCCTTCTTCTTCGGCCCGTCAAGTCGTCCCGAGACCTCTCTGAGCTCTCCAGTGATTTTTGGGCCAGGTCGTCCCGAGACCTCTCTGGTCTTTCCAGGGATTTTTGGGCCAGGTCGTCCCGAGACCTCTCTGGACTCTTGAGGGAAGTTTGAGCCAGGTCGTCCCGAGACCTCTCTGGGCTCTTGAGGGAATTTTGGGCCAGGTCGTCCCGAGACCTCTCTGGACTCTTGAGGGAAGTTTGAGCCAGGTCGTCCCGAGACCTCTCTGGGCTCTCCAGGGATTTTTGGGCCATGTTGTTCCGAGTCTATCCCCACCCTCATGATCCTTTCAACGCGTTCATCTCGCATATCTCCCAGCTCCGCCGCCGCATCACTTCTACGAATATCCCCATGAACTCGCGCATCGTGTCCATCAAGACCTTGAGGATCCTTCACCCATCGATCGGCGCAACTATCCCCATGAACTCGCGCACCTATCCCAAGAGTATCCCGATCTCCGCCGTCTCCATCAGGACCAAAAGGATCCCATCTATCAACTCCATTGTTTGCTATCCCAACATCATCCGATCTCCGAGCATATCCCAAGTCGCTCCGTCCATGATGCGATTCCTCCAGGCAGCCGTCTCCGGCTAACATATCTTCCTCGACAACCCCGCCAAAAACACTCGAAGGCCCTGATATCCCATCATCCGCCCTAGGAGTCGTTCCATCTGAAAGGCTCAGATCCCATGGTCCTCCTCGTTCCTGACTATCCCCAATGCCTGACAAGTCAAACGCTTTGTCGTCCCCGCTCGCATTCTTCCCAAGTCCATCTCCATCTCCAGCGCACCCATCGTACATTCCGTTCCCTATTCCTGCGGGGGTGCGTCCACTCCCCACATGTCTATCCCGACCCAAATCCATATATCCCTCTCGTGCCCGCTCGTCGTTCCACATGTCCGTCATGACGTTGAACTATCCTCGCCTCGCCTTCGGCTCAGTCGGTACAGAAACTACAAGGCTCTTAACCTGTGCGAAGTGTCCAAATCAAGGAAAACTTGCGCGTCGAAGAACTGAAAAACTGTGTCCACTATTCCGGCTGATCAGACCCAAGTAGACAAGGAAGTTGGTTATATACAGTTGTAAGGTGTAATGTTGCTCCAGAAGTAGCAGTATCCCTGCCAACGGGGAACTCAAGGTAGCTAGCCTATCGTTCCAAGCCACTCCCGACGTTAACTATCGGAAGGATCCCCAGAGTTGCTATCTCCAGGGGGTGGTAACCTATCGTTCAAGATGTATCCACTAGCCGTCCGGCTGCGTGTTGTACACCTATCCCAATATTCACCTGAACAGCCACCTGCTCTCAGTATCCTCCGGCCTCCGGCTATGAGTTGTAAAGAGAACAAATAACTATCCCAAAGGTTAGGGAAGGACCTATCCCTCGTCAACGCCCGATCCTTTTAGCTCCTCTGGCCTCCGGCTGCGAGTTGGCTAATCAGATCCACAACGTACAGGGACACTATCCACGGGGGCGAAAACTGTACAGGCGGGGCGCAGCTACACGTACGAAGTCAAGAAACAAACAAAAGAGAAAGGTGAATGAATGTACAGTGTGCTTATGTTGCTGTCTTGTTGCCCTGTAAGCCCAGACAGCAACAGCACACGAAATTCTATCCAGGCCCCTCCATCTATCCCAAGGCTCAGTGCGCTATACCGGCTCGTCCGCGAGGAGGTCGACATCTATCCCGGAGCAAACCCGAAATCAACTGACATCAAAACAATTGCTCCCCCGAAAGTACCTGAAAGACGTGGTGCGAAACACAAGACGACCAAAGCAATGAGGTTCTTCTCTATGTCCGATCTGAGGGCAGTTCGGGTGGGCTTCCGTCAGCAGACGCAATGACCGCCTGCGGTTCTGGAACCCTTGTCTGAAATGACAGTCTTCGAACATCTTCAAACCCAAAATCTTAAAGCCTAGAGTCTCGTGATGTCTTGTGGCTCGGCTTCAGAGTCTAAGCTAGTATTCACTGAGCCGAGCCGTGAAAGCAGGTGCTGAACGAAGCTGAGTTCCTGGCAAGCCTGGCATCTCACTGACCAGCCTCTGTCTTGCTCTCTCTGTCTCTTCTTCTGCGAGGTCGCAGCCCTCCCTCTGCGCGCAGTCGAGCCCGTTGTGCCTCTACTCTCTCACTCACTCTCACTGTCTCGCCCTGCTTCCATCCGCACGCATCCCCCCCCCCCCCCCGAAGAGGAGCCGGCCCGAGGGGCGCGCAAGTCCGAAGGTCTGGTTGAGATGCCACTTCCACGTTTGTTGCGGGTGGTTTTTGAGGCGGTAAAGTTGAGTGTTCGTCTCTCCTCTCTCTCTCTCTCCCTTTCCATCACACACACATAAAGTATAAAGTATAAAATATAAAGACATGCTTTCCATAGATCGTTTGCCCGAACGTGAGCGCACGTGTGCGTCTACATGTGTATAAGTCAAGATACGAGTCATCCCCAAGGCGATCTATGAAGTGGCTACCTCTTGCTGCTGAGGAACTGGGCAAGAGCCGGACCAGCCTTGCATGCTGCAAGCTGAAATTTAGGAACGGCTCGTGGTTAGGGTGACCGGACTCATTCTGCGCTCCTCTAGGCAAAGCCGCCGAGCTGCTCCCGCCAGCGCCTGTGCATTCACCACTAACTCCTGGGTTTGAGGGGGCCTCAGCAGGCAAATGGCTGAAGATCGCTCATGCTCTAGACACCCTGACACACCAATGACATCGCCGCGCATTGCCCCGACATGCCCCACCGACTGGAGTACTCAGTGCTAGCATTCACCAAGAGCGCAAGCACGTCTGGACCGCGTTGTCTTTCTAGATCTAGGCCATGGCAGTCGAGTCTTCATAAGGAAGCTGCACGGTGGTGTCGGCAGCGCAGTACCCATCAGCAAAGGCCTGCCAAGGACGACGTATTGTTTAGACTTTCTCCAGGCAGCGCCGCAAGCGCTGGAGCATGTTCCTGATGATCTCTAATGCAATGCGTGCGTCCGGAAATCAGAGGCACGCGAAGAACATAGCATGATAACGAGGGATTCCACCAACTCACACTTGCCTGCCAAAATGACTTGCTTATTTCATCACCACGATGCCTTCAGGATGTCGTTGCTTGGCAGTGCCTGCCAGTGTTTGCTGCAGTTGCTGCATTGTTCCGGACAGTGACGTCAGGTGACAGTAAGTCAGTCTCACTCACTCACTCCCATCTTGCGAGCGTGGCAATCCCCACACGCATTCAACACCCAACGTGCTTGCAAATGCTGTGATCAGCAACCTGGAGACGCTGATCAGATACGACGGAAGGAGCTCACATGCGCAACCTGGCTCGCCCAGCGCAATATCCACACACATTTTTGCCCTCCACTAATCTGTTCGACGCTGGCCCCAAGCTGTCCCAAGCTTGTTCCGCTTGTTCGGCAAATGAAGCTCGTCCAAGGCACGCGACGCCTTGCTTCACGAAAGCAGTTCCTGCGCCTTTTGTCCCATGTGCTACTGCCCCACGCTTGTCTGATTTCTGGCACCGCAATTTCTGACTTGGCAAGCGCCCTCACTCGACAGTGAAGTCCATGGGCTTGTTCCAGATCCTGAGACAGCCAACATGTGGTGCAAGACCCCCCCCCCCCCCCGCCCACACATGCTTTGCATCTTCTTGTTGGCCGCACCCCACTCTCCCATCGCCTTGGTCAAACCCTGGGGAGGAGTTATTCCACTTTGTGACAGCACTCAACGAGTTGATCAAGGCGGTTTCCCTTCTTGTCGGGAACACAAGCAACGTTGTGCAAGCTCCATTTTACTTAATTCGCCAAGAGCAGGCGCTGGCAGAAGTCGGAGTACATCGAAGTCATCTGGGCTAGAAACTCCAACCCTACGGTACGGTCACCAAGAGCACGTGACCTAGGCAGAACGCACTCCAAACCCTGTAGGAGAAATACTCAGAGCACTTCTCCAAAAGGCTGGCATCTCCAAGGCTCCACTTGTTGGCTGACCACTTGGTGCCGCGTTTCACCGCACAGCCGCCGTGGAGAGAAGTCTGCAAAGTCATTGGCAGGTGCAGCACCAAGTCTTCAGTCTTAATTTGAGGAAGAACAACTTGAAGACGCAATGCAAGAACTTAGAATATCGTCAAACACAGACTTGATTCTATCATGACCAAGAGTTTCCAATTTGCAATCTTCTGCCAGCCTCGTCCATCTCGGCAGATGGGTGCATGGAGTAAAAGATAATGATCCGCCCACGCCTGCAAAAAGGCATGGTATGGCACGATGCTCGACGTCGGAAGCATCCCGGGGCAGAAACATGTAGCCTGGGAAAAACGGACACGCCCTTGGAACAGTCCGCGAAGTCATGCGGCTGTCGAAGCCCGCCAGCGCGTGGGAAATTTGTCTGCCCACCTTGCGGCAGAATTTCTGCTACTGGCAGCTTGGGACTACTGTAGTTTGCTTTGATTGCATCTGCCACTACAGCGGCAAAAAAAGGCAGCCCTGCGTGGACAGACACGGTAAGTTGATCACGTGCCAACCGCTCACCTTGCATTACGCAGCTCATCAGTCAGCATCTTACATGCCCTTCTGCACACAAAAGCGGAACAAGGGCAATGGCCAAATAATTACGATAAGTGCACATCGTGCACCAACCGTAGACACAACACGATTACAACTACATTAACGAGAGGAAGCTAGGACAATCGCAAGAGAAACACTATGTCACACGAATGTGTCCACAAACAGTGGTCAAGGACCGACAGTTCTTAGAAACTGCAGTCGCAAGAGCCTTCCTCTACGTCGGACAAGTAGAAGAAGACCGTAGCTAATCCTTGGAAAGTGCAGTCACAGCAACACAGCCTGTCGAGACGTCGGCAAAAAACCTAAATTAACTGCAGCCAATCTGCTGTTGTACAATCCTTTCTTAATCATGGACTGTATGTCTTGGTTGCTTTTGTACATCGCGGGGTCGAAATAGTCATGGTGCGCCTGAGCGAGATTCGTAGTGATGACAAGAAAAGCTCCACATGACTGCTTCCATCAGCCTTTCTTGAGAAGTATTCTCCGCTGCCAACATGATGACGTTCTTCCAGCACATTTTAAAGTGTGGACCAACCAGCCAAGTCACGACATACTGCTCACCTTGCCTGCGTTGGACACGGCGAATCAAGAGTCAGAACTTCTAACTCGAACCACAAGCGTCTGGCACTAATGAGGCAAAGCCTACCACGAGCACAAGTCAGTCATGAATCGAGTCATGAACCCAGCTTGTCGCGACAGGTTGAAAGTGAACTCACCCTGCCTGCCAGCACGCAGTGTGTGGGTGTGTGACCAGGTCTGCTATAATTACTTGGAGGATCGGACTAAGCAGATAGATCTGATGTAGAGTTTTGCGTACTCCGAAGCTTCCTGAAATTAAAAGGAGTCCCTGCTCGGGGGTTCTCCCACTTTATCAACCTGCTCCGTGTATACAGTATTCACCAAATCCCACGATTCCCAAATATTCCCAAAGTACCCACTCAGTGCCACCCAGGCACTCGTAGCGCAAGATCTGGGAGTGCTCCTCGTAGCAAACGGTGCAACAACTTGCAAATCCACGCTCTTCCTCGCTTTCTTGGGGCTTGAGGGTTGCCCCCGAGCCAAGGCGCGATCTTTGTGGCTCTCTCTCGCCCTCTCTCGCCCTCTCTGTCTGTGCTCTCTCAGTCCAAAATTATACGCATAGCCACACAGCACCTGCAGAATTTGCATTAATATGCACTAACCTACTATAGGGTACCCCCCCCCCCCCCCCAATGTTCAGAGTCGTTCTTGTGGAGTTTGGGGTGCCAGAGTGGGCTCCCATCGGGCAAACATGCAAGAGCCACGTCGACTGGTACTAGTACTGCTGCAGCAGATCACCATCCTGATGAGTCTTCTTGATCAGCGTCAGGGCGCTCACCCGATCGTCTAGGCGACGCAGGGTGTCGTCCTTTCACCCGCCGCTGGCGTACAGCCGTGGCCATGGGCAACAAGACAGCATACCGCACTCGCACTTCACACGTTCATTTTTTGTGTAGGCCCGCCAGTTCTGTCAAGAAGCATCCGATCTCATGAAGTACGTGCTGCTGGTTCTCCAGTTCGCATCCGGCTTACCAACATCCTCGGCAGCGAAGCGACTCACTCACCTTGACACGGGGTGAACTGCCGCCAGATATATTCCCTTCTTCCTTTCCTCCCGCAAGCACAACCTTTTCCGTCTTCTACTTCTTCTTCTTCTTCTTGGTGGGCTAGGGGCTCGGGACTGGGGTCTGAAGGTTCGGAGCCGAAACTCCTCATGCGCGTAGCCCCCAAATCCGAACCTGAGAGGGTACGAAGGTGAGCTGTGACCAGGGTCCGGCTCTCCCCACGGTGTCTTTTCCTTCCTTTGGTCGCAGAAAGCACACTCAACTCCAACTTCCCTTCCCCTTCCCCCCTCCTGCACGGAACATCCCCTCCCCCGCTCTCTCTCTGCGCCATTCCGGCGAACACTGGAATACACTGGACACATGCACAGCCTGCTTTGGCACGATTTGCCAAGCATCATGGTCCATGTGCTTCACCGAGGACTTCTGGATGTGCGGCAGTGCCTTTCTGGCCGGGAAGACAGGAGTTTGGAACAGTCAGAAGCTCGTCTCGGCTTATGTATCCTTTACTGCGGCTCCCCCGTGTGGTCTTTAAATGTGTTTTATGAGTTCTCTGTTTCATTCCGCACTCCCGGAAACGCAGCGTGACCTCGCATAATCCCATGTTAGATGCCGTTGCCTTCACGTGCTGTCACGTTTGTTTTCTCCAGCGTGCTTCGTGCCCACGTTGGTTTGCTTAAGGGTTCTGTGTTTCATTTCGGGCACTCGGAAACGCAGCATGACCTTGCATAATCCCATGTCAAACGCCGTTGACATCACGTCGTGTTGCTACATGCTTTTTCTGTAGCGTGTTTTGGGCGGCGTGTCTCCTTTATGGGTTCTGGCGGTTCTGGTGTTCATTCCGTGCTCGTAGACACAGCGGGACCTTGCAAACTCCCAGATCAAACGTCGTTGGCTTCACGTCACGTCCGTTTCTGCAGCTGTTTACCTGACCAAGCACAGAAAAGCAGGTGGCAGGCAGTGATCTTCGAGGCCCTACGAGCGCCCCGGATTCACGTACCCACCGTTCAGGCGCATGGTTTCATGTTCTAGGTTTGGAATGTGTAGACCTGGTGCTAAGCCGTCACAACCCCAGAACTCCATCGTCACGGTACCAAGGCCAGTGGAACACAGATACCGACCTTGCCCACCTCGAAAAACATAAGCCATAAGCTCAACAAGCAACTCCCATGGTCAGGCTGCGACGGATCGACTTTACACAACTGGTCGGGAGCTAAGACCCCGCATTCCATGGCCTTGTCGATAACATGCTGGCAGTCGTCGTCATGCAGGAAAGAGGAGATTTCCAGCACAAGGGGTTGCAAGCTTCCTGGGCTCGTCAAGCTGAGATTGCGCATGGTGCACGAGACAGCTGCGACCAGTGGCCGCATGGGGTGTTCCGCATCTTTGAACGCTGCCAAGCTGCGCGTCTCTATCTCGAGGCTCAATGGTTCTGAGTTTTTGGGCCTGACAGTGGTGCGAGTATGCAAGCGATACCTTGAGCTCAGTAGGCACACCAAGCTCATGGCTGGATGGTGACATTGCGGCGGAAGCCCACTTGCACGCCTGCGGCAGAAGGGATGAATCGAATGCCCACGACATGTCAGGCCCTAAACTTAAACATCCTGTGAGTAGCGGCTCGGGCCTGTCACTCTATTTCAATGGCTCAGGTCTGGAGGCATGGGCCAACAAATGTGGCTTAGCGGCATAGGGCCTGCGATGCTATGCACGAGCCTGGCCACACGAAGACGCCGCCTTCAAAGACCAGAATCATGCCTGGAATGATGGCTTGGCAGATGCCCCAAAGCCCCAGGGAACAAACTACACACATGAAACAAAAACCTTCAACATCCCATGAACGTCGGGAGTGTGGCCCCATGACCGCTCTTCCTTTCTTTCATATTCAAATACTTCATCCCGCCCTCTTCCCGGCTTCGCCCACCTTCGCCACAGCTGCCATAGCTGAACTGAGAATAGCTGAGATACCCGACACTCCCTGCA